AGAAATATATTGAAAGGACCATGGTCTGCTAGGGTAACAAACAAATGTGTGTTGGAAGAAGTACAGCCAGAATACTCCTCAGAAGACAGGATGATTAGACTTGTCAGTCACACTCTGGACATGTTATCAGGATGGAGCAATTCCTGGAGAAGGACATCATTCTTGGTAAAGTGGTGATGTAGAATAAACACTAGACTTCATGGTTGGTTTGAACTGAAAGGTCAACAGTTCAACTTACCAGTCACTCCTTAGGAACACTATACAGGGTTGCTATGTGTTGGAACTGACTTGATAGCACTTAGCCCACACCCATACACATAGCAGAGAGTCAGTGAAAAAGAGGAAATCCCCAACAAGATAGATTGGCATAGTGGCAGCCTCTATGGTCTAAAGTGTAACAACGATTGTGCGAATGTCATAGGACAGGGCAGTGTTTCATTCTTTTGTGCATAACGTCGATATGAGTTGGAACCGACTCAAGGGCACCTAACAATAATTCCTAATTTGTTATCTTTCCTTAGCATGTTGTTGCTATTGTACTATGGAGTCCGTTCCTATTATATCATAGCAACCCTGTACAGGGTTTCCAAGGCTGTAAATCTTTATGGGAGCAGAAAGCCTCATCTTTCTCCGCGGAACAGCTGGTAGTTTTGGACTGCTGACCCTGAGGTTAGCAGTCTGATTCATAACAACTACGCTACCTGTGTTTCTTTCCTTAACATAGTGGTTACGAATCAGTGGTTCAGTGGGAGAATGATGAGACTTTCTGCTTCTGTAAAGATTTACAGCCTCTGAAACTCTATGCAGGGTCACTATGAGATAGAAGTGACTCTATGGTCCACCACCACCACTACCTTTCCATGGATGCAGTTTGACTTTGTTAAAATATCATGTATAAATTATAGTGTTAGGTCAAACAATTTAACACTATGGAAATGGGGTCATAGGAAGAAACAACTAAACAACTAGGACTGCAAAACTGTACTCATTTAGTGACTCAAGAGGGGAAGTTTTGAGTTTATGATGGAAATTATGCTTTACTTGACTACCTGTTCTTTTTGAGTTATTTACTGATTTGCCAAACCCAAACGACATGCAGCACCGTTGAGTTGATTCTGAATCATGGTGACCCTATATAGTTGTTGTTAAGCATTGTCAAGTCAATTCTGGCTCATAGCAACCCTGTATAGGGTTTCCAAGGAGTGACTGACCTTTTGGTTAGCACTTCATTGCCTATCCTACAGCGCCAAACCACTCCTAATGACCTTGAAGCAGAGTGGATCTGCTCCATAGAGTTTCCAAGGATGCAATCTTCAGAGATGCAGTCAGCCTCATCTTTCTTACACAGAGGATGTGGTGGGTTTGAACCCTTGACTTTTTGGTTAGCAACCCAGCATCTAACCCACAGTACCACTAGAGATCCTTTCTCTAATCTTAGGAACCTGGAAATTAATGTACCCTGGGAAGGGGATGGTGCTGGAAAACATACTCAGTGGATGATAAGTGAGAGATACATGGCAGAATACTGATAAGATTAACCAAGGGTCTTCAAACTTTTCACAACAAATTTTCTATCTGGGATGTCCATGCCAAAACTCATAAACACCATCCTACCTTTTGAAATTTAAGGAGCTTTGGTAGCATAGTGGTTATGAATTGGGCTGCGAACCACAAGGACAATAGTTCGAAACCACCAGCTGTTTCATGGGAGAAAGATGAGGCTTTCTGCTCCCGTAAAGATTAACAGCCTCGGAGACCCTGTACAGGGTTACTATCGGAAACCCTGTACAGGGTTGCTATGAGTCGGAACCGACCCCATGGCACATCACCACCACCACCACCTTTTAAAATTTAGAAGCTATCTCAATCTTGTTGTTGTTGTTGTTGTTATGTGACATGGAGTCGGTTCCAACTCATAGGGACCCTGTACAGGGTTTAATCTTAGAAAATTATTGTAAGATAAAAATGCTAAAAGGAGAATTGTTGCATATATATTGCATTCTTATATACTAGATTTCTGAGAGAGTTCTGTTTTTGGATAAAATGATAAATTCTAATTTAGATTTGCAAAATATAACTGTAGAAAATCTACATGAATATTATATTGAGATTTCTTTATTTAAAGAAAACAAGCAGAAACAGATTTAAAGTCCAACAAAAGGATTAGTGAAGGATAGGGGTTATTTACTAATCTTAGTTTTGAAGGGCAAGTACTAATTTGTTAAGTGGTACTTATTTTATAATGGTGAAATTTCCCTTTTTTTTCTAACTTCCTTCTGAAAATTCCTTTTCTTATTGTGCTTCACAAGCTAGCTTCAAACTATTTGAAAGGAAAACCCTCCTTCTAGGAACATGTTTATCTCAACACATGAGAATTTACAATCCATACCATATTAGTTCAGTGCAGTAGTATGGGTTCTAAAAATAATAATTCCAAAGAGTTCCCATATAGGAAAATAAGTTTAAAAATATATTACATAAAATAGACACAGTAAAAATAAAATAGTTGTACTAGAGTCATTGAATTCTGGATGCTTTTTTTGGCTTATAATTTTCCTTGATGTTGCCATAATAATATACAGCAACAAACAACAATCAGTAACTAATTATGTTCAGTAACAATTTAACTCAAACAGTTTATTCTGAAGTGAACCATTTTCCTCCTCAATATTCAGGAGAATATACTTTAATCAAAAACTCAATTAACTATTCTATCAAGTTTGTGGTGATACTTCATTTAGAAAAAATATTAGATAACCAGTGCATAAAAACATTAGGTAAAATACATTTCTGAATGTTTTAACTGGTATTATAACATATGGAATTAAACCTGATCTCTATGAGCTTAAAATGAGGTAAAATGGAAAGGAAACAACATGTGAGTGGATGTTATTGGGCTATGACATTATTTTCCCATAGAAAAGTTGGATAAATTGCATTTTAAGTTTTGTTTATGAGAAATGACCAATGTAAATCAGCCAAGTAATAGAGTCAAATGTTAAGAAAAACAATCAGAAAATAGAGTAAATGTAAGAACTACCAGACAAAAAGTCTTAAATTTTAAACCAACCAACAAAACAAGCAAAATAAGAGTTATAATTTTATTGATCCTTGCAATACAAATTTAAATTGTAAAATGCAACATAGGGATTTTTGTCACAGATGAGTCATATGGAAAGCATCTAAAACAACACATAATGTGTCCATTCTTTAGTTAATATGTAGTTGAAATGCCAAAGTGGAAGCAAGAAGTTCAATTTGCCTACATAATCTGACTATATTATGATTGTAAATGATACTACAGCTGTATAATTCAGTAATTATTCAAATCAATATCACTAAAATTGAAGATGTGGAAAACTACGTAATACACATTATTTTTTGTTAAATTATACTGACTTATTCATGGAGAAATTATATAGTATGCCTCAGTTTAGTGCCCTGCTATGGTGCTGTAGGATAAGCACTGGAATGGTAGCCACAGGGCTGGCATTTCAAACCCACCAGCTGCTCTTGGAAACTCTATACAATGTCATTTTGAGCTGGAACCAATTCGAAGACCCAAACAGCAATACCATCAATCTTAGTTTATGCTGCAACTTCCCAGAATTTTCCTCAGGGCTGCCTTCATTTCCTTATTCCGGAGACTGTAAATGATGGGGTTGAAAAGCGGGGTAACCATAGTATAGAACAAGGTTGTGACTTTTTGCATCGTAGCAGTGTGTCCAAGTCCTGGGTTCACATACATGACAGTCAGGGGGCCAAAGAACAGTGATACTACAGTCAGATGAGAGCCACAGGTTGAGAAGGCTTTACGTCTCCCAGTTGCTGATGGGACACGCAACACAGCTAATAGAACAAGAGTATAGGATCCAAGGATGAATATGAAGCTACCTAAAATAACTAATGAGCTTTGAATGTAGCAAAACATTTGTATTATTGGTGCAGAGGCACATGCCAATGCAAATAGTGGCCCTGGATCACATACAACATGGTCAATAATGTTTGGGCCACAGAAGGACATTTGAGATATGAAAGCAATAGGAACCAGGAACCACAGAAACCCACAAACCCAGCATGCAATAACTAGTTTGACACAGAGAGGTCCAGTCATGATATTAGGGTAGTGCAAGGGATGACAGATAGCAAGATACCTATCAAAAGCCATGGCACACAAATGGAAGCATTCTGATGAACCCAAAGAAAAGAAGAAATAGAATTGTAGAATGCAACCAACAAATGAGATTGTCTTTGTCTCTGAGAGAAAGTTGACCAACATCTTGGGGACTGTAGAAGAGACATACCA